AAGGATTGAGAAAAGACAGACAAGAGAATGAAAGCTGGGTCTCGGTGGGACACTGCTCCCTGATGAGAAGACAGCGCCAGCCCCCAAAAGCCATGTCTTTATTCTATAGCAGATGCCACGAGGCAAAGTAGGGGCATGATCACGTTGTTTACAGCATTCTCGTGAGTTCCAACCTCACTCAACTACATGCACCCGAACTCTATCACAAGGCACGTGGGGCCACGTGTTCGGACCATAGGTTCAAGCTTACAACTATAGCCGTTGGCTATAATTGTGCTGGGAAGGCTCTGCCCTCCAGCTGGGACTTGCACTCGGCAATGAGAGGACCCTGTCCTTTCATTAGTCTGAGGCTTGAACCTGGCCAAAACACCGTAATCGCGCCCCATATTTTAGTAAGGTTATAAAAATAATAATGCTCCCAGAAATCAATGGCATTTTTATACACCGATAATGAACTCTCAGAAAGAGAAAGTAAAAAAAAAAAAATCCTATTTACTATTGCAACAAAAAAATTAAGATACCTAGGAATAAACTTAACCAAGGAGGTAAAAGACCTGTACTTGGAAAACTACAGGATGTTGAAAAAAAAGACAGAGGAAGATATAAACAAATGGAAGAATATACTGTGTTCATGGATTGGTAGAATTAACATCATTAAAATCTCCCCAAAGCAATCTATAGGTTTGTGCCGCGCCAGCATGGCCAAGGGTGACCCTGAGTGGGGGCGGTGAAGGATTTAGAAAAGACAGACAAGAGAATGAAAGCTGGGTCTCGGTGGGAAGCTGCTTCTCTGATGGAGAGACAGCGACAGCGCCCGAAAGCCAAGTCTTTATTTTATAGCCAGATTCCACGAGGTAAAGTAAGGGTGTGGTCAAGATGTTAACAATATTCTAATCTACTCAATTACATGCACCTGAGCTCTATCAAGCCCACATCACTCAGACACCTGGGACCATGTGTTCGGACCATAGGTTCTAGCTTACAACTATAGCCTTTGGCTATAATTGTGCTGGCAGGGCTCTGCCCTCCAAGCTGGGACTTGCACGTGGCTTTGCCATGAGAGGACTGTGCCCTCTCATTAGTCCGAGGCTTGAACCTGTCCAAACGCTGTAGCCGCTCTCCACATAGATTCAACACAATTGCTATTAAAATACCAACAGCATATTTCACAGATCTAGAACAAATACTCCAAAAATTTATATGAAACCAAGATAGACCCCAAATAGCCACAGCAATCTTGAGAAAGAACAAAGTTGGAGGGATCACAATACCAGGTATCAGGCTATATTACAAAGTTACTGTTCTCAAAACTGCCTGGTACTGGCACAAGAACAGACATATAGATCAATGGAACAGAACAGAGAACCCAGAAATTGACCCACGCCATTATGCTCAATTAATATTTGACAAAGGAAACAAGAACATACAATGGAATAAAGACAGTCTTTTCAATAAATGGTGTTGGAAAAATTGAACAGGTACATGCAAAAAAAATGATACTAGACCACCAACTTACACCATACACAAGAATAAACTCAAAATGGATAAAAGACTTAAATGTCAGTTGTGAAACTATAAAAATCCTAGAAGAAAATGTAAACAGAAAAATATCAGACATCTCATGTAGCAGAATTTTCACAGATACATCTTCTAGGGCAGTGGTTGGCAAACTCATTAGTCAACAGAGCCAAATATCAACAGTACAAGGATTGAAATTTCTTTTGAGAGCCAAATTTTTTAAACTTAAACTATATAGGTAGGTACATTGTTATTAACTTAATTAGGCTACTCCTAAGGCTTAGGAAGAGCCACACTCAAGGGGCCAAAGAGCCGCATGTGGCTCACGAGCCACAGTTTGCTGACCACGGATCTAGGGCAAGAGAAACACAGGGGAAAAAATCATGGGACTACATAAAACTAAAAAGCTTCTTCACAGCAAAAAAAACCCAGCATTGAAATGCAAAGGGAACCCACAGTGTGGGAGGACATTTTTGCCAGTGATACATCTGATAAGGGGTTAATTCCCAAAATATATGAAGTATTCTTACCACTCAACAAAAGGAAGGCAAGCAATCCAATTTAAAAAATGGGCACAGGACCCAAATAGATACTTCTCCAAAGAGGACATACAAATGTCCAACAGACATATGAAAAAATGCTCAAAGTCACTAATCATCAGAGAGCTTCCAGTTAAAAGGACAATGGCTACCGAATGGCAAGTGCTGTCCAGCATGTGGAGAAAAGGGAACCCTAGTACACTGCTGGTGGGAATGCAGACTGGTGCAGCCATTAAGGAAAACAGTATGGAGTTTCCTCAAACAAAAATGGAACTGCTATTTGACCCAGGGATTCCACTTCTAGGAATATATCCTAAGAATTCCGTGACACCAGTCAGAAAAAATATATGCACCCCTATGTTCATAGCAGCACAATTTACAATAGCTAAGATCTGGAACCAGCCCAAGTGCCCATCAGTAGACGACTGGATGAAAAAAGCTGTGGTACATCTACACCATGGAATTCTATGCAGCTGTAAAAAAGAAGGTTCTACTACCCTTTGAGACAGCATGGAGGGACCTGGCGACGATTCTGTGCCAGGGCTGACCGGCAGACCCTGAGCGACGATGAACAGATTGCTCTGATACACGGTTCTGTGAAAGAGAGGGCTAAGCGACTCTTTTACTTTAGAAGTAAAAAGCAGTCCTGTTCGCCTGCCTTCTTAGGCTTTTATTGTCCCAACAGCTTGAACTAAAATTAACCTCTAGATACAATCAGCAGGGTAAGTATCCTTGAGAAAGCATATGCTTCTACAAGGACATTTTGAAGTCTAAACATAAAGATTCTAGTAAAACACCCAGGGGATCAGATTTGTTTGGAAAAGTCAAGGTAGGGGCTGCCACCTTCAGCAAGTTCCCTTCAGAGGCTCCTGACCTTTCAGAGAATCCTCCTTACAGACTTTACAACCAAGTCCTGTGCTTCCCCACAATTCTGCTATCAAAATAAGCCAGCCAGAGAAAGACAAATATCACATGATCTCACTTATATGTAGAATCTAATAAACACAATAAAATTATGAATAAAATAGGACCAGCGGCTTGGAAACATGGAACAGACTGGTGAATCTCATAGGGATGGGGGTTGGGGGGAGGGGGAAGAGATTAACCAAAGAACTTATATGCATATCCTATATAATGAAGAGGTAATATGCAAACTGACCATCACTCCAACACACAAGATGGCCAGCAGGGGAGGGCAGTTGGGGGTGACCAGGCCTGCAGGGGAGGACAGTTGGGGG